AGACTACGGAATGTACAGCTAGAGAGTGTTTCATATTGCACGGTAGCCGAAAGACAGGAATATTCTTCATAGCTATTCGGACTCATTTACAAACATGGATCACTTAACAAGATCCTGAGCCCATTATTCTTGAGATCGGATTTGTGACCTTTTTACTGATATTCGATGATTTTCGAACTGTTAATCATGATTAGCAACTGTTATTGACTAACTGAGACAGGTGATGCTGTGTTGAATGTCAGACCTTGATTACATCTAAAACTTCGTGAAAATATCTGGAATATAACATCAAAATGATCAGAAAATCATAATCTATGGATTTGTGTACCGATGAATTAAATTTTAGTAACGAATATAAAAAAATAGAGAGAAAATTTAATCACAAAAACGCCAAAATAGAAGTCAGTGAGAGATACTTAGATTTTGTTTTCTTCGTCAAAAAGTTATCAGCTATAGGGACTCTTATGTACATACGAATAGATTATTTTTTAATGTTTACATGATGTCTACGTCAGAAACTTTTACATCAGAAAAAAAATAACGATAAAATAAGTAAACTAAAAAAAAATTGTTAATGCTAACCTGTATTTCCTGGACAATCGCCTGATTCTGTTTTAAGAATAACTGTAACAACAGCATCTGCATAAACATCATTAACAGGACTTGATTCCCACTACATAAAACATCATCAAATAATAATAATAATAAAACAATACAAAATAAAAATCTTACTTCAAGTACAAGCATTTTATTTTCAAGAAAAATATTAATTGCCCCAAATACTCGAATACCTGGTTTTTGTTTATCACCAACTTGTTCAAGTTCACCAGCTACTTGAGATAAATTTAATACCAAAGACCTATCGAAATCAATAGTAGAAAATAGTGTAATCTCTACGGCACTAAAATGTAAAACACAATGCAGCTCCTATAGCTAATCACGGAACGATTGTTCTATACTATCAATTTTGAGTCACATTTTTTCACCATACTTTTATTTAATCCTTTAGCAATGTCGATTTGATCTGTGACGTGTCCATGGAACGGTTTATCACGGTCTGTGAGAGAAGGGGGCACGCAAATTTCTACCCTCTATAATCCAATACTTATTTTAGATTGTGTTTCACAAAAACTAGAAAATTACGCTTGAATGAATATTTTGTTTTTTTACCTCGGTGCAGCTGTAAATGGAATTCCTAAATGTTGTGTAACAGTAGATCGTGTTAATGTTGTATAATCTTAAAAATAAAAATTTATATTATTTCAATATATTTCTTATATATTTTATACTTTGTAAATCTTCTGGTGCCATCATATGTAATTTAAAATTTCTTCGTACTAATATTCCACTAAGAATATTTCCTTCAGCTGGCTTTTCAGCTGCTAATTGTCCAACAACTTTAGCTGTTTTCTCACCACGAAAACGAAGTTCAACTGATTGTGTATTTTTTGGTGTATAAACTAATAATTTACATTCCGGATCATCTTCAAATTTTCGTATTAAATGTGAACGTAATCGATTCATTTCGGTACTTTCACCATGAACAAGTATCTAATATTATAAATATAATAAGAAAAGAAAAATGACGTAGAAATATCTTTCATACCACATGTGGTGGTCGAAGTTCACGAATAAAATCTGTTGTTTGATTACAATCCGTATGAGCAGAAAATGATATATAATCAACAGAACATTTTAATGGTAATTTTTGTCCACTCATTGTTGTTATTTCTTCTGGTTCAGATAAAATCATCTAAATAATTTCAAAGAAAATATTTGATTTTTTATATATCTATTGAAAGATTATACTTTTGCAAGTGTTCCTTCAACACAATAACCAGCAATAATAACTCCATTACGTTTATCAGTACACCAACATTCAAATAGTTCTCTACTTAAACCACTTTGCATCATTCCTGGACTAGCCAAAACAACACAAGGACCAATATCATCAAAATCATCGATTGTCTAAATTATTTTAAAATAAAATATATTCAAATTTCAAATATTTCTTATATTTACTTTAAGACTAGCAATATGTTTAAATTTAAATGGATTAGAAACAGCACTTTGTTTACGAATTTTATCATTCATTGCATCAATATATGTTTGATATACAGCCATACATTTTTTTGCTAAAGATGATGCATAATAAATTGGATATTCATGAAGTTCAGGATGTGATGCCCAATATTCATCTATGGTAAAAAGAAAAAGATTATTTAATTATAATATGAATTAATTATACCGAGAATAAGTAGAAGTTCTTGTGCACGACCAAGAGCAAATACAGGAATAAGACAACGACCACCACGTGTAACTATATCATTAACAAGACGAGTAAAACGATTTTCACGTTGTTCACGTGGTTCATGAACATGAACACCATAAGTTGCTTCCTAGATAGGATTTTAATTAATTAAAAACAAAAAATTCTTAAAATAAAAACTTATCAGTACATCTCTTTTGGAGCTAAAATATCGAACTCATGTGTGTTATTTACTCTCATTAAATTAAGTATGTAATACAAAATGTGTACAGTGAAAAATCTCTAACAGAGTAGGATTTTTTTTTAGGACAATAGATCACCAGGGAAATAATCTGCCTTTTTCTTAATTTGATATTATTATTATTTTAAATCTCGTTGTACATATCCAGGATCTTTACAGTAGCTCTCCATCAAAAGTACAGAATCTATCTGTGTACGCCAACTCGCATTGAAGGAAATCTTTCAAATTTGAGAAAAGTTTTCGTTTGAGAATTCAAATAAAGAAATTTTACTGCAAGATGCTGTGATATTCACACATATTTGACATTTGAATGAAAATTAAGGTGATAGATGTGAGCGAGAGTCATGTTAATCTAATTTGCTTCTTTTTCATCAAAGCAAGGCTTTTTTTTTCGAAAATAACGATTCTTTTTTTATAACACTTGACTAAAGGTTCCTGAGGTCGAAAAATTCAAATCTTTAATTGAATGTTTGAAATTCTTGATTTCAATTTTTCTGGTTAGAGGAAGTCTATTTCAAACAAATAGTTCAATATTATGAAAGATGATAGGACTTTAGAATTTCGAAAAGTTGATAAGATATTTGAATTCCTCGATCTCAGAAATCTTTAGTCAAATTTAACAGAAAAACCGAATTAAAATAGTCTGACTCTAATTCGTAGCTATCACATTAATTTTCAGTCTAATTTCTAAATATGTATCAGCACTTTTAGTACTAAAAGATGCCGACATAATGCTGAAGGTACTGAAAATTCCAAACATGCACTTTTCTCTTTGATCCACAACCATATTACACTCATTCAAATTCCAATGAAGGCTTTTAGAATGTTCTAAAACAGTCAAAGTCTTATTATTAATGCCATTCAATGCCTGTTTCTATTGCTAAGGTATTCTAGGAATGAAGCCTATTGTTCTCGGCTGCTATAACAAAGTACACAATGACCTTTGATGTCTCTATCACATTACTAGAGAAAACATACGCATTGCTCTCTAACATTTAATACCAGTTAATCGGACTTAGCAAGATTGAAACTACAAGAAACCGCGGTTTCAACTTATACTGACTATTTTCTTCGAAAATATATGTGAATTCTACAGAAAATTGAAAAAAATAACTTACAGTAACAAGTACATCTGGTCGAAGATTTGGTACTTCTGCTGCCATTAAATGTCGATCTTCTTGACGTGAAAAATCTCCTGTATATAAAATCTAAATATTATAAAACAATCAATAAATAAATTCCAAATCATATAATCTGTATTTACTTTAACACCAGCTATTTCAATCATAAACATAGCTGCACCTAAAACATGACCTGCATGATAACACCAAAATTTAATACCATTAACTTCGATTTCCTATACAAACAAAAAAATGAAAATAAAAGATTCTTTCGTTTGTCTTTGAATTCATACTTGATGAAAATTAATTGTTTCAATGCGTGGCATACTTGCTGTTAATTCAGCTTCTGTATAGAGCATTTCTTCTGCACTTACATTACTAAAAAATAAAATAATTTCAAAACGAAAAAAAAAAAAAGAATCTAAATTCAACCTAACACGAATACAATCTGATAAAAGCCATTTATAGATTGCTTTTGTTGCATGAGTCATAAAACAGCGACCTTTAAAATTAGTTTTATTTAAAAACCAAGGTAATGCACCACAATGATCAAGATGAAAACTAAACATTTCCAAACGAATAAATAATTTAATAAGAAAATAAAATTAAATAGAAAACCAACGAATTCCTTACTGACTAACAAGTAATAGATCAAGTTCTTCTGGATCAATATTATCAATAAATGGAAGTGCAGTACGACCAGATAATCCTGGATGTATACCAAAATCAAGCTGAAGAAAGTACAATGTATAGAGAAATTCTTTTTTTTTTTTTGTCAATAACTCACTAAAATCTTTTTCCCTTTAAATTCTAAGTAAATACATGATCGACCAACTTCTTGTCCAGCACCCCTAATTTTTTTTGTAAATTAAAATCAAATCAAAACAAAAAATCAAAACAAACTTACAATGGTCGAATAATTAATTTATCACTATCGTCACTAAATGGTTCTTTTCGTTTATTTGGCATCATAAAAAATCTTTGATTTAATTACAAAAAAAAAAAAGATTCTTCTTCGAATTGTCTTTGAATATTAAGGGAAATGTTTTATTAAACAAAAACAAAACAAACACACAACATAGAATTAAATTCTTTTATTATTCCAAAATTGATCTTTTTTTTTAAAGAATTGAATTTATCTGAAATAAGACAAAGAATTTTGCATTTGCTGTTTTTGTGTGACACTTGACTAGATAAAGTGTTTCTATTGGTATAAAAGAAAAAGAAAAACTTGCATCAATATAGATCATGGTTTTGTTTGGCTCTAAGCATTAAATGAATAAAGGAAAAACGACAATTGCCTAAATATGAGGAAACTAGTAAGTAAAGTCATATTAAATGATTCTATTTTGTTTGTTTTCTTGAAAAATTAGTCATGCTTTTTAGCTATGCCATTTTGTCGAGATCGTTTGGTTGTTGATAATTCATCATTCGATTCTTTATGTTTGTTTTCTACTTGTTGTTTACGGCGTTTAGTATCATTACTTCGAGTTATGTATTCATGAACATAAAAATTTGTGAAAAGTATCAACATAATTACCATATAACCACCTAACATCCATAGTCCCCTACAAAAAAAAAAGAAAAATTAACAATTAAATAATAAATAATAAAATAATATTATACCAAAGTGGATAATTACAACCAGTTAAAATTGCATGAAATGTATGAATGAAAATAAGAACAAATTGAATCTAAATAAAGAAAAAAAGACTATTACATTCGACATTGAATTCAACTCCGGAAAAACTTTTTTTGGACTAGTATGCATAGTTCTTTTTGCATTACTTGTTAATGATTGTGAAAGGATGAAAACAAATCCGGTGACTAACTCTCAAGATCAAAAATCACTATCTAATCAATTATTATTTATTGAAAAATTACATTAAATGCCTATGATGATAAAAGTCTGACAAACGTGACTAGAGAGAAAGGAAACACCCAAGTCGTACAAAAATAGATCACGGTGGCTTTGACCGCAAACTTAAATTTAATGTTAAGTGTGAGCGTGGATCATTGTGAGTCTATTTATGCATAACTAAATCCAAAGAATGTACTGTGAGAGAAATTTTTCTTGAAACTGATTATCTATAGATTGGTGTGTTTTTGTTCATTACTTAAAATACGAAGAATAAATTTGTGACGATGTAGGAGTAAAAATATTTGACTATTTCACTCAAATGTAAGTCCAATATTGACTGTGAAAACATTTCTTTTAATGGCTTTGAGTTCATTGGAGTTCGACGAATTCTTTTTACAACTGAATAATGTATTGAGACACTTAAAGGTTCTTTGTTATGTACAAACACTGGATGGCAAATATTTTTTCTATATTCTATATTGAACGCATTATTTGATGTCAACTCTAAGTTTATCACAAGTATGACTATAAGTATTTTATTGCATTATACTCTATAACTTGCCACTATTTGCTTGAATGTTTTGACATTTGCTACCGCTCTCTTATCCTGAAAAAATAGAATGTCATGAGCTTTCGACAAGTTTGGTTGGAAATTGCCCTGATTGTGTAGAGTTTTATCACTTAAAAACCTGGTCTTTGAATAAAAAAATTATTTTTTGTAATCAGTTTTTTTTTCTAGAAAAAATCTTGATTTTCAGCACTTAGTTGCTAAAAATGCCTTTTTGAATACCAGAACAGTTTTTGCTTTTAGGTAAATGTTGGGAAAAATCTAGCGTGTAATAGAAAACCATAGTCTTCTATGGTGAAAGATTAATTATTTGCCTTCTTTTAACATATTTAGATCTATTTTTATCGAGAAAAGATTCTTCAACAAGCTGTATATCGAAGACAAATTGTGCTTAATAAACCAAAAAAATTGCGATAGAGTGAAACAATTGCTATATTTCAAAGACAGCGATGAAATATTCTATCAATCGATGCAAATGTAATAATATAAACTCAAAACGAAAACAAAATGAATCCTATGTACAATAAAAGAGAAAAATATTCTGTTCAAAAGTATAAACTAATTTATTTGAAATAAACATTCCTATTTACTTACAAGTTGGAACAGTGTGATATATCGTTTCCACCAAAGTTTATTACGTAATGATGGAATAACCGATAATCCATAATATGCATACATAAAAACATGTACTGCTGAATTTAAAACTGGACCAAACCATGCTTGACCACCCTAAATGTAACAAAAAAATCAAAATATTCAACAAAATAAAAAAAATTTTTTTTTTTTTTTTTTGCTTTTCTTTTCTTACAGGTATCCATGTCATAACAATCCACCAAATAATAAGCATTGTTGAATGATGAAATACATGAAGAAATGTTATTTGTGTAGAACGTTTTCGAACAACCATAAATACTGTATCCATAAATTCAATTGCTTTTGAAAAAAAATAAAACCATAATACATTGGTTACTTTCATTTCATTTTTGTCCTTCGATACAATTAATGGTTGACAAAGGATATTATAGTTACTACGATAAATCCCAACAATAATCTTAAATATCGAATAAAAAATCATATATATATAAGTTAAAGACATGAATTTTTAACTAACTTCTTCAACCATATAAATTGATAAAGCGACAAGTGACATATTATAAGTAAAAAGTATCCATGATGGTATATGGAATGCTTCTCGATGTCGCATATAACGTGGACCTAATGTAACAATTATCAAATAGATAAATGCCAATGTCAATGCTGGAATTGGATCTGACCATAATAAAAACCATTCTTTTGTTCTTGGATCAGCATGTTTTAAAGCATATTTATAAGAAGGAATTTGTTCTTTTAGCCAATCATTTAACCAAGTCATTCTTCCAAATATAATCGCTGATGAAAAGCAACAACCAAAAAAAAAAAGTTTTTTGCTGATCTAAAATTCTATTTAAACGAGATTATTATATTTCAAATATGAATTATATTATTAACAAATAGATTAAAAATTAGTAATATACTATAAAACAAACACTGTTTCCATAATGAATATAAGACAATTAAAAAAGAAAACAAATATTATTAGAAGCTCATACAAATCATTTCTTTTGTTCTTTTCTCATTTCTTAACTGGATGAACGTATATTTGCAAGAATCGATTCTGGTAATAAGAATGAATCATCAATAGATATTCCACTTAAAAAACAACAAGAAATCAATAAAAAAAAATTGACAATTAAGTAATTCATATTTTACCTTAATTCAAGGTCATATTCGTCCATATAACTAATAACTTCATCGTATAACATTAAACAAATATTATTATTGCTAGATAAACGAGATGATGAAATTGAAATATTTTTTAAATGACCTTCATGTGTGAGATATTCTTGCTCATCTCTTTCAGGTATGTACTAAAAACAAACAAATATATATATATATATTTATATAATTTGTTCGAAAAGATCATATTTAATCTTATTCAAACAATATTCTCTTATCATAAAGATTTTCTAGGGTCGATAATTGTTTCACAAGACACAATGTAAATCTTATCAAAAAAATATCAGAAAGGCAAAAAGAATAATAAGTCATCAGATATAGGAAAATGAATTCTAAAAATGTTTGACCTATATTTCTTTTAATACAATACCGATCAAAGATATAAGATCAACATTTGTTTTTAAATTTGTTTCTACGATACTAAGCATTTAACTCAAATTCAAATAGTAGTTTGAATAGACAATGAAGTTCTCTATCAAATAGATACAATACCGATATTTCATAGATGGATTATGAGTAGAAGGTTTCTCAAAGCTCAAACATGATAGTTGTCAAGTTTCAGAAGACTGTGTGAAAATTAGTTTTCAAGTGAAGGATGTGCAGCTTCAATTTACTATCCATCGACTCAGTGTAAGAGGTGTGTGCAAATTAAACGGAACGATCTCATTTTCTTTTGTGAATCGTTCCAATACACTTTCACAAAGTCATTCGACAGAGAATTTTTTTTCGCTCTATACAATTGTTTCGTTTGTTTTTCCAATGAATTTTTTTTTTATAGAAGCAACATTTAAAGTATGAACACTTGCTCGATGGTTTGCGATTTTTAATTTTCGACACATATGTAGTAATTTGTACAAGTCTTTGTTCAAGAGCGCAAGCCTAAAAAGTGATATGGGTAGCATCAATAGATAGAAAATTTTGGGACCTCCGCTTCCATGATTTTTTCAAAGATCCTTGTACTATTGTTCACAAGAAAATAAACCTTAGCTTATTAATATTTCTTTTCCACACGTCGTAAAAAATATGCTTTTCAAAGTAAAACTTGGCGTATGATACATTTCAGCAAATCATTGTTAAAACAATTTGCGTTATTTTTTTGTTTTTCTTGTGGACCATCACAGTTGTACGCTCGAGTACATGATAATATCTGAAATTTCGCTTCGACAAGCAAATCCTATAGAATCACTTCCTGAATGATTCAAAAAAGATATTGTATCGATTAATCTGACCAGTCACCAGTTAGTGCACACTAGCATTAGTGTTTACTGAAGCGTGGGAAGACGATACTATAAATAAGGCATATTTTAATAGACCCACTGTCTCAATTTTGCAGCGAATGTGGATGTCATTGTCTCAGTGGCCTACATGGTCGGCGACTCATTGTTCAGTATTTACACCAATATTGCGCATCCCTAACGTTTAGAAGTACTATATTAAAGAAAAAAACATCATGATTACAATGGAGGGTTGTTGCATTTCCTTGTGTCTTCCCTTGGAAATCTATAAGTGTTACAAAAAATGAAAAAAAAAACGTATTTTTTGTGAAGCATATAATTTTTTTCAGGAAATATTCTAGGAAGTGCGCTGACTGCTTATATTATTCAAGATTTTGCGCTCTTTAAAATAGTACTTTTAAAATTTAATTTTTGCACGGTTCTCTAGGATTCAACAATTACCATATTTGGTTGTTGAGAAATTTTTCCCTCATAGTCTATCTATGAAATTTCGGTATGGAATGCATTTGATAGTGAGCTTTATCGGCTATTTTAATTTGAGTTAAATGTTTGGTATCGTAGAAAAAAAATGTTGGTCTCATATTTTTTTTACCATCGCTATTACTCGAAATTTTCTTAAAATTAGAATTCAATAGAAATTATATCAATTTTATCTACTTGTACTCTTGTTTAAATCGGGAAATATTTCCTGCTGAATCAAGATAAGACAGTTATCTTTTTCATCTCATAAAGAAAAGAGTTCAATTAGTTTAAATCAAAAAAATATTTACTTTGAACAGATGACTATATTTCTTTTGAAATTGTTTTAATTGTTGTTGATTTGTCATTTTATTACCATTGCTGTGACTATCATATTGACCAGGTATAATGTGACTAATAACAAATTTTGTTTGACTATTTATTGGAGCTGGTGTAGATATAGATAGACTATTGCTAGTATTTTTTCGTTTCCGTCTATAATAAAATATATTATTTTTTTTTAAGACTATTTTTTTTTTCTCAAGCAATTTACTTTGCAGTGCCATTATTTGTAATAGTTGTCGGTAGAATATGAGAAGAAACATTTGTTGTTAAGTCATCTGTTGTTTGTGCTGGTAATATTGAATTGGCTGAGTATGTAATCAAAGCCTACATAAAATATATAGTGAACAAACAAGAAAGATACGCCCGCGTGGCCTAATGGATTAAGGCATCGGACTCCTAAATTTCTTTTGAGTAGAGTCATCCGAAGAGTCCGGGTTCGAGTCCCGGCGCGGGTGTTCAAATATTTTGTTCCAGCGCTTAATTTCTCTTTCCTTTTCTTGCTTCGTTCTGTTCTGTTTTGTTTTTTGCACTACTCCCTAAGGTAACTATCATAAGGAACACATTATTGAGAAAAAAATGACAGATGACAAACTTTCCTCTTTTGTAAATGAAAAATATTTTAAAATAAGATATCCTTGCCCACGTGGCCTAATGGATTAAGGCATCGGACTCCTAGCTTTGATAATTGAACTGAGCCATCCGAAGAGTCGGGGTTCGAGCCCCCGCGTGGGTGGACAAAAAAAAAATTATATTTTACTTTTGATACAAAAAGTATTTGATCTTTATTCTTTTTTTTCTCTCATCAATTCAACATACCTCAGAAACCATAGCACATAAGCTTGCACGAATAGTTTCATCAGTGGTATTCGGTGCATTAACTCGATCAAAATAAGTCTAATAGAAGAAAAATCAAATTTTCTTTTTTTTGTTAATAGTAAAATTTCACATTTACCATTTTATAATTATCAAGTAACACTTTAAGTTCACGTTCTAATGGTTTATGTATAATTAACCGTATAAAATCGATCCATTCAGCATCCGTAACTGTCATTTTCGATGATGATTGACGTTGCCTATAAAGCAAAAGACCAATAAAAATAATTGTTTTTATATAAATATTTGAAAATTACTTAAGTAAATTTATCTGATTCGTATAAGCAGCATTATAAGATTTTTTATGTTTTGTTTCTGACGGTGGTGGTACTAATAATGTAGATGAACAAGCCATTAATGTTTCAAGAATTTGTGGACGTTGACTAGCAGGAAGAGTCTATGATGAGCAAATAAAAAAAAAAAAAAGATTTGATATTGAAACAACGATTAGTTAAATTTCTTTTCCTTACAAATGGTATAGATTTATGTGGACAATCCTCTGATGATGATGATAAACAACAATTATTTGTAGATTTTTTTTGTTCACGTTTTTGATTCGAATTTAAAAATTTTTCTTCATCTGTTGTATTTGTTGCTGGTAAGCTTAATGGTGGTGGTGGTAATTTTTTTGATCGAGCTGATGAATTTGTTTCCATTTGTAGTAAATGAATTGTTGTCATAATGTCGTATTTGTTATTTACGACGATCGTCAAAAGCTTGTAGAAGAAGAAGAAAAAAAAGAAAAGAATAACATTATTACAGAAACAAGTTTTTTTTCTAACATTCTAATGCTGATGATGATGTGCTCTCAAATGTAGTGAGGAAATAAAATTTATTTACCATAAAGTTCACTATTGATTGGCTAGAGGGTGCTTCAATAAAAGAATAAATTTCGAGTCAAGTTTTTATACTGTGAAATACAAAAACATGACAAAGAATTTTTTTTTTCTTTTATAAATTGATTATTATTATTAATAATAAATCATTTATTTGTTGAAGTTAACCAATCATTTTAAAGATAAAGTGTCTCCACTTGAATTCTCCAAAGGAATAATCGTATATGCATGAGTCATGAAATTAATGTTGAACTAGAAATTCATTCAAGCACTAAAAATGAAATTCATTAAAAAAATTCTATTCTCATCATATTATTGACAAAGATTATTTATAATATTAAATTCTTCTGATCAATTAAAATAAGGAAATTAGATTTTAGCGACATCTCACGTTTTCATTAGTCTTAAATAAAGTCACAGTAGTGTAGGACGGATATTTGCGTGGAACTTCTTTTTACTAAATATAAAATATATAAATGAATATACGGTCTCATTTAATATATTTCTACTATAATTTCTTTTTCTTACAGTTACAGCAAATCCAGATGTCTCACCACGCTTTCTATCACAAGGCCATATACGAAAATAACAAACATTATTTTCTCTGATTTTTATTTGCTGAAAATCTCCTTCTTCAAGGAAACATTTTCAATCAATCTAAATGAAAAAAGAAACAAATTATAATGAATTATTCAGTTTGCAATTATTCGAGTGTAACATTCAGTATAACTTTATTATTAATTAATAAAAATGTCGAGACAAAATGCGGTAGAAAATGAAACTGCAGTTTCAATTAATAGTTATATAAAACTATTTTTATGATGATGTTTGTAAAATAATGATTCGTGGTACGTCGAATTCATTAACAAATTTAACTTGTCATATTTTCATTAATTATTACCATAAGTTTTCATCATTTTTGCAATCTTGCTTATTTTCATTATTGTTACACGTGATATTTTTTGATGGATGTGTATTTCGAATGTTTAGCATTACATTGGATATAGATAGTCAATAAGATTCTTCAACTGACTTGGTTTCAATTGATTTTATACCAGTAATTTTGGTTCACTGAATTAAGGAATTGAACTTTTCTGTTTGTTGCTTTTGTTAGTTTTGTGTGTTTTATTTTACACAAAATAATTAATAGTATTTTGCTGTCTATTTAATTCTCTTTGTACTAGTGCTTAGCGTTTAACTAAATTTAATGTTCATTCAATGCAAGAACATTTTATTGATCTTCCTATTCCAGTTGTTGGCATAACCATTGCATTTCTTACATTAGTTTCATAGGTATGATTATTTATCATAATTGGCTTTGTAATCTTAATGATCTCTCAATTTGAAATTCCAAAATTAGATAAAACTTGCTTCTCATTATGATGATTATTTTTTGTTTTATACCAATACTTTTGTATATAAAAACCAGTGTACTTTTTTTCTCTACAAAACAAAAAAAGGATAATTGTGCGGATCTTAAGTTCATTTAGTATATAGAATAAAATAACAACTCGTTTTCGAGATATGGTTGGTTGTTTTATTTTTAACACCAGTTTTTCTATAGAAAAGACTAAATAATAATAATAATGTCACTAGAACAAATAGAAAAAATAGACGAAATTTGTCGTTTAATTGAAACAAGATAAAGAAAAACAAAATAAATCATAAAATACACTCGAAAGATATAAGGTAGACGTCTGAAGAAACATTTATATACCGATAGTACAATATCAGCTACTATGGTATCATTTAACGCCAAAACCATACATAAATATAGAGATAAATGAAAAACTGAGAACATAAGCAGAAGAGACGAACGAAAAAAAAAAACAAAAGTCTAAAGTCTACAAATTACATTAATATACAAATCTATTCCTTTTTTAAATAAAACATAAACCATGTTGACACGCTTCGCAATGAAGTTTATCATGTGGAGCACGCATTTTTCCTGTTCGTTGATAAGGATCATGACGTGAACGTTGACAAGTTTTATTAATATTTTGAATCATTTCTGTACCAAGTAAATCATTATAGTTAATAATTTCAGGAAAAAATGAATCAAATATCGACTGAGCTACATTTTTCACAACACGGCAAACTTCCTCTGAAATAAAAAAAAAAAAAATTGTTTTTGTATATGTGAAAACAATATAATTAAGATCTTTCTAAATTAAAACTTACCAGCATACCACAATGCATCAGCTAAAGTTTCGCATTGTTGACAAACTTGCCCATAAATTTTGAGTACAACAAAACCATCCGGTTGTGGTTCACTAATTTTAAATGATATTCGAGCACGCATTGACGTCCATAAACGACCACAACAAATATTTGGACATTTAAATTGTGCTTTTGCATTATCAAGTTTTACAAAACTAAAACCAGGCCATTCACATGGATCACTATGAAATTCACTTTCGGGGATAAGATGATACTTAAAATCAGGATAATGTAAAGCAAGTGGATAGATTATATCACGAGCAAATTCACCATGAAATATTTCACATGTATTCAAGCAAATATTTTTTTTTTCACTATCTGGTACTCTTGCAGCAAGAAGAACTAAAAAAAACGACATTTATTATTAGAACACTACAAGATTTATTGATTCGTAATAACAAAATAATAAAAAAAAAAACAAAAGGAATGTTCTACTTACAATCATTATAAAGGTTTACAAGTTGTTCATATGATTGAATAAAATTTTGTATTGGATTTATTTCCAAACCTTCATCATCACAAGCACCAAATTGCGTTGATGGTTCTTCATCATCGATATTATCTGGTTGTGATTGAACATGATTTACAACTTGTTGATCAAGATCTTCAATACCTGAGTCACTATCACTTGCTGTTTGATCACGTCGAGTTAATAATTCTGCTACATGTCGATGATCATCAGATGTTACTTCGGTTGTATTATGATCTTCAGCTGAAGAACATCGACGAAGTTTTGTTCGAGCCACTTTATCTTTGTTTGAATAACCTGCTGCAACACTACGTTGACGATGAAATAATAACGAACCAGTCATGTCAATAACTTTTGTTTTCTTAATAATAAAAGACAAAGTCTTTTTTTTAAATCTGAAAATAAGCGTTGATGTTATAGTAAGAGGAGTTTATATTTATATGTAAAAAAGAAAAAAGGCTAATGCAAAATCTTTGGGGAAAATGATGTCAAGAGTAGTGCGCAAGAACGAATAAAGGAAGAAAAGGAAAGAATAAAAATATGATTGTGACGAGACGAGAGAGATTTTCGTTTCCCCGAAAAAAGAAAAAAATATGAATCTATATAGATGTGTTTGTCTTTATTGAGAATGAAAAAATTCATTTTCATACTTTTAAAACCATTGAAGCAATGTCAATGTGTTTTATCAAGTTTGTTTTTGACAATACGAAAGAAAACATAAGCAGGAAGGAAAAAGAAGAAGAACTCTTAGTTGGAAAAAAACACATAATAAAGAAGAAAGAAAAAAAAGGTTTTTTCCCATTTCGATCTTTTTCTATCTAACAATATACTTACATTTGAATGATGAAATTTCTGATGACGTGGATAAATGACGCAAGGTTAAAACAGACAGAACCGATGATCGCTTTCTTTCTTATTTCTACCGTACGACCAAAATTATGTCTGATAGAAGATACGTTTCTATATATTTATATAAGAAGTAGAGAAAGAGAAAAAAGAGAAAAATGATGTTCTTTCGCTGTTCTTGCTCAACTATTGTAAATTTTTTGTTGTAAAAATCAATTCCTCTTCTCTTTCACTCTTTTTCTCACTACGAAATATTTATTACTATATTTCCCAGCTGATGTAATAACACGTTGAAGATGAATAATTATTCTTTTTGTTTTGAAATATAGCAAAACAAAATGTTGACAATAACAAATAAATTGATAATGATCAGATGTTTTTTTTTCTTTCTGTTTGTAGTTATTTATTTTTAATAAAGATTTTAATGAAACATTTTCTTACAAAAAAAAGAAAAAAAACAACACAAGATCAAACAATTTCAATCCTGCGAAATGGTTAAGAATTCATTTTTCTTATTTATTTTCTACATGATACAAGAAGCATGTATCTCAAATAAATGCCACGTCATACATAACATCTGACTAAACCCTATGAATCATTCGTATTATCTCCGACAAAATAGATTCTACGACCTGGAAAATCAATCATATGATATTATAAATAGAAAATATGAACAAGAAAATACTAACATAGATGTTATTTTTAAAAAAAGCCTATTTAGATCTGCTTTCATAAGAAATGTAAATAGAAGAATTGTCGCAGATCACTTATTACTTAAGTGTCTGTTTTTTTCAATTCTTACCAGTCAAAAAAATATTCTTAGAAATGAATGAAATCAAAAGAGAAAATAATAGAAGACAAAAATTTTTATAAAAATAAAATTATATTTGTATTAGTATGACATAAATCTCGACGAATTGAGAAATAATATTTAATTTTTATCGAAAACATTTGCTTAATAATTCTTGTTCTTAAAACAAAATTTTTCAAATTTTTTTTTTGTATCTGATCATTACATACGAATTATTGATGCAATTTTTAAATAATAAATACTTGAATCAAGTTTTTATAATTAATTTCTTCGTTGATATTGTCGATGAGAATCATAACAATATCCTTCACGACAAGCTCGACATAAATGTTGATGGTGATGACCATGTGTTTGACTTGTTCGTTGTTGAACTTCTTCTTCCTCGGAAGGAGACGTTTGATATATTGGTAATGTAAAATTTCGATGTGGATAAAATTGTTCTATTAGTATTCGACATATGTTTTTCATGACTCGAGTTGCTTCATTCAAATACCACGATGGTTGAGTTTCTTCTCCACATAATCGACATTGTTGTGTACATAGATCCACACATAAAAAATTATATTTACCAATTATTGGGAATTCTGCTTGAAATATAGCTCTGCCACGTGCTGTTGTCCATTCATTTATACAAATTGAACAACGATACTTTATTTTTGCATTGTGACATATTATTATTTTATCATATGGGTATACAAATATTTGAGCAGGAGTACAATCATTCACATCAAAGTTATAATTCCATCCTATTGGTAGAGGAATATTTACAAAATACAGACTCCATCGTTCTGAACAATCATGAAAATTCCAATTTAAATTAATTTCCAATTCAGCATAAAATACATATGTATAATTTGGACAAATAATACGTTTATCTAAATTATTCAGTGAACGAGCTTGACTTACACATGTTTGATAAGCTAAATAAATAAAGAAAACAGATTATTTACTATATTTACTTAATATGACGTCATCTAGAAAATGCCAAGTACTACGCCTATGACTCATACTTTAAGGGAAATTATAATAGCTTACCATTTTCATCTTGAATCCTTCGTAATGCCATGATTACGCCAAAAAAAACAAACAATTAATATCTTATCGATACTTGTTGATATCAAATTGTTATTATTTTTTTCTAAATCAATATAAGTTGTAATCGATGCTATCTCGTAAACTCATGAAAAATACAATGAAATATTCTCTCAATTATTGTTTTATATATGTTCTTATATTCCCAAATATAATCTATTGCCATTTGATGATTAAGAAATAAGAATGTCATCTATTTGAATGAAATTAACATGGAATATACCACTTACTTTGATACACCTCCACCTTTTTTTTCTACGAAAGACTCATGACATATTTTTATTTTTTTTATTTCCACGAAAGACAAAATACACAGTAACCAACACTAATTTTCTCAAGTCAAAAAGTTGGTTTCTTCCCCATAACACATAAGCGAAAGAAAAAAAAACCACGATTCTTGACGTCATATTTTACCTATTAATTGATTTGTCAAATGATTAGGTTCAAGAAATAATTTATTCGATATATTTAATTACAAATAAGAAAGTGTCAAGACAAAATATATATATATATATTCATTTATTTGACTCTATTTATATTTAATTTGTTGAAGCTCGTTTAATGATTGCATATCGAGTAAAGAATACAAGAAATATAACAAGACTAATAAATGTAATTAATATAAAGTAAGTTATAAGTATAGATGCCAATGCACATAAAACAACTGTTTTATGACACCAAATATCAGGATTTTCTAATAGCTGTTCGAAATATGGTGGATATCCAATAGTTACTAACCAATAATGGCCCAAAAAAAACCATATTATAAGAAATGACGTCATTAAACCATCAATAAATGCATGACCATCATTATGATCAGATGATGGTTCTTCATCATTTAAAACTTTTTGTTGTAGACGATATTTATGCCAAATATTTTGAAGAAGTTTTGTTGTCCATACAATACCAGCAACAAATAAATAAATTGGTAAATTTGTTTGACGTGGACAATCATTTAAATGACTAACACCTAAATAAAAAAAAAGAAGTTATTAGTATAATCGTTGCAGAATTCAAATGTGAAACATGGTGTAGCTGCTATTGTTGTTTGTTAAGAGATTGTTTTATTCTATCGATATTATGGCATACTTTTTCACGTTCATTTTACTTAATCCTTCAGAAATGCAATAAGGACGTAAGGTAATGGGAAAAAATTTCACAACAATGTCTTTCTTTTCTTTTTCTATAATGTTAAACTATTATTTCAAATCCAAATTGTGATTTTAATAGTCAATGAGGTTTTCTATCTAATGTATTTTAGACTAAGATTGTATAGATCAACGATGTTAACAAGATCTCTAAAAGACTGAACACGATAATTTTCAAGGTCTAAGAGCAATTTTTTAACAATGCTATTTTGAAGAGCACAAAATTCTGAACTAAATCAGGGATCTCCTTATTGTCTATGACCTTCCCTTAACAACTTAAAAACATTGCAAAAACTGAAAAATGACGGTTTTCAATTGATTTTTTTGATAAATTTCGTATTTTTAAAATTTTTGTGATCTATTTAATTTTGTAAGAGAAAATCGTAGAAAATGCTGTAACCCACCCCTAATTTCATTCAGAATTTCATGCTCTTGAAAATGGCATTATTAAAAATATGCCGGACAAACTTTTCTGGGACCTGAAAATTACTACGTCCGGTTTTGTTTTAGAAATCTTGTCACGATAGTTCTTCTATAAAATCTTGCTATTGAAGATATTAGATAGAAAACTCCATTGGCTATTAAAATCACTATTTGGATTTGAAATAATTGCTTAACATCATAGAAAAAAATCGAAGACATTTTGTTATTATACCTTTTCCCATCACCTTAGTTTGGTTATTATCAAGAGACGTTATTGAGATACCATCTGTAATTGGATACTCACAACGTATGTCACGTAGATGAATGTAGGGGAGAGAGGTGTTTTCAAAGTGTCTGTCATGGTCTGGGACGTTTTCATGATATCGCTTGTTCAAATCTGTGAGAGGAGAGTCATTGAATATCTGTATCCTATATATTTTAACATTAGTTTTAGATCATATTTCGCAAAAATACAAATGTTTGTAGCTTGAAAAATACAATAAAGTATTTTTTTTTCACATACCAATACCCATCATTATAATAGGAAGAATAAGCAGAAGACCAAGAAAAATTGTTGCTGCTTCTATAGAAAGTAATTTATTAAAAAAAACTGAAATTTTACTTATTCAAATTTACTTGTTTTCAGAAGTACAAGTATAGTTTTTTTAACAAATTCAAGTAATGATTCACAATCAGTATATTCTTCAATTAAACGTGAACGTAAACTACCATAATGAGGTGTTTCTTTATGAAAATCAATGCTCCATTTCGATGCACGTGATGCATTCTAGATGAAAAGAAATTAAAATTATTTGAAAAGAAAAAGAAAACAAAACATAATCTATTTAATATTTATTTTCATACTTTTTTTATTGTAACAGCACTTTTCGATGATGCATCCCAATAGAACATAGAACCAAATGATTGTCGTTCACCTATACCTTCTACGGTAACAGGACTAATAGAATTAGTTGACGATGTATGACTATGTCTACTATCATTATTTAAATTTTTTATGTTTAAAAATTGTGTTGATATATCGGATGTAGTTGATATTGATGTTCGATCAGTTAATTGAGTTTTAAATGGTATAGACGTTGATGTTATACGTCGATTTGATGATGCTGTTGGTGGAATATGTGCTGATGGTCGTCGACACATTGTACTTCGACGACGTGAAAATGATGCTGCACGTCGTTTTAATTCTAATTGTGTACATACAACACTTTCAAATGTTAAAGGATTTTTGCTATTCACTGGTGAATTTGAAATCATTGTATTTAGACAATGAGTATGTGGCATTGTTCCTCGCCGAGCAGCCTACATATATAGAAATAACAATTGAAAAATAAGTATGATTATTACTTCTGGGAATCAAATTCAATGAGCTGCGGTAAATATGACTAATAGACAAATGCTAAACATATGTCTCAAGTGTTCTATCAAGTGAAAAGAAATATGTGGCAGGAACATAACAAAAAAAAACAAGTATTTCTTTTGATTTATAACAATAATCATGTTATTCAATAAAAGACAATGAAAATATTTCTTTGTTCTTTTTTTCTCTTATATTCAAAGAATACCATTTTACAATGATTCAATTTAATAATTAATCAACAGGCAATAGATAAATCAAAGATTTATTTTTTTTAATTTCTTACCACTGATAACATTATAGATGTTTTTTTTTTGATAGAGATATTGATTATAGTGATGCTTTTCAAGTAATCAAGAAATCTATTATCTGTTGAACTCGTCTATTTTCTATCATTTTTTTTTTTGACTTTTTTCTTCCGCCTCTTCTCTATCTGTTCACTCATTCAATTATATACATTGACGATTCTTAGTACTATGATAAAAAACATCTTCATCTTTTTTTTGTTCATTTGACCATGGCATCATCGAGAGTCGTTCGATTTCTATTTAGTCACTTTGTTATTCTCAATAGTCATCTCACTCAGTATCTAACTTAAGTTTCTTACGGAAATTCAATTTTCTATCTACACACTATACATATTAAAAAAATCGAAAGCCAATCGTTTCTTCTTTTGATGTTATTACATTCTACACACGTTGGACTAACATGATCAAAAGAAGATGATAAATGCTAATCATATCTTGTTTTCTATTAGTATGTATAGCAACAAAAAGAAAAGCTTTTCATTAAAACAATTTGATTCCAAACAATACTTTTTTTATGTTTCACTTGCCTACTCCTACTTGTATTGTTCAATGAACTTGAATTAATATATATATATGTCATATCCTATTATATTTGTATGAATAAATATTCTTAGATTTATTTGCATCTAGTAAAACTTATTTAGGTTCTGATTATCAAAGACAAAATACATTCGACGCAATACTTTATAAGATTATATGTGAGTATAACGTTATTAATGATGAAAAAGACAATTGATAGTGAAATTTATTAGATAGAATTGAGAGTAATAAAAGTAATAAACAATTATAAACATATTCCTTACAATTACATCGATATTGCAATTATAATCAGTTTGAGCCATATGACAATGAAAAAGATAAATCAGAATATTTATAACAACTAAGTTGCTATTATCATTACATTCTCAAGTATCATAACACGAACTCTGAGAACTATCATCAAAAAACATCTACAACTGAGAGCAATATAACAATCAGTGACACGTTCAATATGGCTGTTTGTTTTTCAAGATTTTACATAAAGATAAAATATCATTGTCATCAATAACAATGAAAAGTAAAGAAGATTGGCTTTATTTATGATTAAATTAGGTAAGAGATTACATTTCAAGCTGATATATTTATATCAATATTATGTCTATTCATTCAAAGCAGAGATTAATTTTTTTTTTTACTCTCATAATTATTATTTGTATATTCAGCTTTACAGTTATTCTAATAATCATATCGCTAGTATGAAATTCTAGCCACAATTGTGCTTATCATAGACCAGTCAATGTTTTTTTTTCAAATAAACATTGAAAACTCACTAATAAGACAACAATAAAAAAATAACGACAATGAAAGACTTTTTAATCTTCTTTTTTTTGTCTTACATCTACAATAACAATACTCAAAGGAAAATACGAATAATTGGTTTTTCTTCTTTCTTTATCTAATATATTACAATAATAAAAATAATTCTTTTTTGTTTTTGTAACAATGGAAAAGATCGTACTAGTAGCAATGATAATGTTGGTATGACATATAAGGGTTTTTTCGACATTGACATATTGTTTTTACCGTTTATGATTATAAACAAGAGGTTTTTTTTTTATAATATTTTCAATCTTCTCTATTTCATGTGAAGTTGCAATTCAATAATTTATAGTAGAAGGTTTTTTTTTGTTTATTTTTTAGATAAATCTTAATTTTTATAACGAAACACTTGAATATGACA